TTTAAAGATTTTAAATGATTTGTATTTTAAAGATTTTAAGAATTTTAGTTTTAGAGATTTTAAGAATTTTAGTTTTAAAGATTTTAAGAATTTTAGTCTTAAAGATTTTAAGAATTTTAGTTTTAGAGATTTTAAGAATTTTAGTTTTAAAGATTTTAGTAATTTTATGTTTTAAAGATTTTAAAAATTTTAGTTTTAGAGATTTTAAGAATTTGTATTTTAGTGATCTTTAAGAATTAACAATTTAGAAACTTTAAGTATTAGTATTAATAATATGCATTACTAAAATGCAAATTCATAAAGATACTGAAACTTAAATTTTTAAAATCTCTAAAATGCAAAGTCACTAAAATTGCTAAAACCATGAAATGCTTACTAAATTAGTAAATACCCGTAGTAGTTTATTCTTTATATAGAATGATCTGCTTCATGCATAGTGCTAAAATTCTTAGAATCTCTAAAACGCAAATCATATCATATCTGACCCCAACGGTATACTGTATTCTTTGTAATAAATTAAGTAAAAATTCTAAAGATTTGTCAGCCAACTTATAGGATTTCTATTTCTTAGGAAAAAGAATAAATGATAAGAGTTAGAGAAACCTTATCTGAGATATTGTTTAAGTGAAATTTCTAAATAGGTATAAAAATATTTGAAAAATAATTTTCTGTACTTATACTTTATACTTTTACCATAGTGTTCTAAATCTTTATAGTACAAAAAATATTATATCTATATTTTATTAAAAATATATAAAAATGACTTTAAAAAGTTAGTTAATAAGACAAAAGTTATAAGAAGTCAAGAAAGTATAAACTTATCTAATCTATATAGAACTTTTGCAAAGACTCAAATTCAAGAAAGAGAATATGTTGGAATATAAATTAGTATCCTAGTTCAAGTTATAAGTTTTATTATTTTTTTTATTTATTTTTACTATTTATTTATATTATTATTTTTCATTTATTATTTCAGTATATAGTTATTTATTTGTAATTCATTTTGCTTATACTCTTGTTTATATTTAAGAACTATAGTAACTATATCTATAAACATAATAGAAAGTAGTTAGGACAAGAGTAGAAACATTAATATGAGCAGTTGAAGCAAGTATAAAATATTAATATAAGTAGTTGAGGCTATGATATATAATTAAATTAATTAAATAAGCTATAGATAAGTAATATACGCAGTATATCTTTATATTATATTAGAATAGTTTAATTATAAGTAAAGCAACTACTCATAAAGAAATAAACAACTACTTATAAAAGAATAAACAACTGCTTATAAAAGACTTGTATGATATAATTATATAGAATTTATTAGTATAGTCTTCACAAACAAAAATATATAAATATAGGTTTTTTTTATTTTTTACAAAGACTAGTTATAAAGTTACGAACTATAAGTTACAAATAAAATTAAACAATTAAAAACAAATTTATAATTACTTTGAAATTCTAAATTTTTAAAGTTCTAAAAATATAAAAATCTTGCTAATTAAATAATTAATTACTTATTAAATTTCTTTATTTATTTATTAAAGTATATGCTATATTTTTTAATTAATATAAAAGAAGTAAGTACTGAAGCTAAATAGACTTTTCACTGAATAATTAGAAACTGCATTTTTAACAAGTTATATAGGAAGTAACATTATATATAGTTTATTAATTAGATTATATTAGTAATTATTTAAATATTATAATTGTTTTATTATTAGTATTATAATCAATACTTATATCATATTTAAGTTATCAGTTTTATTATAGTATATTTAATAGTAATACTACTTTTATAAATATTAAAATAATAGGTTTATATAATAAGTCAGTGTTCAGCTATAAAAAACTCCTTATAATCTATGAATAGCTTGTTGAAAAAAAGTATTTATATTTAGTTAGTAGTTTAGACTTATAGATTAGTAATTGTCTTCAATCTTCTAAGGTTTGAATCTTTAGAGGTAATATTACTAATATCAAACTTCTATTTAATAGAAGTAGATTATTTATAAACTTTAACTTTGCAAAGAATGAACATCACAATTCATCAGTTATTCTAATTATTAAAACTATAGTTACTATAGTTTGTTAGATAACTAGAACCAAACTAAATAACTACAACTAATCTCAGTATATCAAGTTAGCTAGAATTGAAGACTACAGTTAATCTTAATATATCAAAATTTAATCAAACAATTTATAAGTAGATATTACATATACAAGATAATAGTAAATATACTATATATTAATTTAATAATAGATTAGAGTATAAGGTATTAACTTAGCAAAAGTATTGTTTATTTATAGTTTATATATTAGAAATAATAATAATTTTAATAAAAAACTCAGTTTCAAAAACAAAACTATAAAAAGTTATTCTGTATTATGAGTGAATTTGCTCTTATTATATATATTTATATTACTAAGTTTCTTATAACTTTTTTAATACTTAAATATATTTTAATTATTAAAATTTTATAATACTTAAAACTCTTTAATCTCTTTTATATCTTTTCCTTCTTTTATCTCTTATATATATTAAAACCTTTATAACTTTTTTAATACTTATAAGACTTTTAACTCTTTTATTCTTAAGAAACTTATTAAAGATAAGAGATTTGTATACTCATATACAGATACTATGACATATAGACTTCTGACTATTTATGTGTTTCTAAAGTTACTTTTCCTGTCTCACAATATTTTATTATTCTGATTTATTTTTACAGTATTATCTCTTCTAATTAACAACTATTGATCTAGATATAAATAATCTACTAATATTACTTACTTTTATAATAATTAAATTATTAAACCTAGTATCTTATTAACTATCAGAGCTAAATTATATAACCTTAATTGCTTATCTAATTTACAATAATAACAATATATATTATTTTATCAATAATTACTTTATTGAATACTCTATCATACAGAATAATAATTAATTTTTAATAATTATTAGATAATTAATAATTATTGTTTAATATTACTCTTTACTAGTTATATTATATTTGATGAAATGATTGTCAATATAAAAATATTTTTAGTAATAGAAAATATTTTCAGTAGCTAAAATTATTTAAGCAGCTGAAATTATTTTAAGTAGCTAAAATCATTTTAGGTAGCTGAAATTATTTATAGTTTAGATAGCCTAAAATATTTTCAGCAATTTTTATTTATAGCAAGCCAAAAATAATTTAGATAATCAAGTATATTTGTAACTATATATAATAATTCTAGCTAATTAAAATTTTTTAACTAGCTAAGCCTATAAAATTTTATTAGCTAAGCTAGCTTAGTTAATTTTTTATTAAAATTTTAAAATCTTTTAAAAGATTAAGTTTGTTTATTTCTATATTAGAATTTTTAAAAATGTTATCCCTTAATCTGTAGATCATTTCCAGGCAAATTTGCCTGGAAAATTTTTACTATTTGTACCATAGAACTAAATTCTCAAACTATTAATATTTTTTATTGTTTTCAATATGCAAAGGTTCTGCGCAAGTCACAGACATCATGATTTAATGTTAATAGCACCGTATTTGACACTTGCAGCGATAGTCAAAATAACCTTTATGAAATATATGATGTACATACGTATGTCTATGCACATATTCGAAGTTTTAACATTTTTTGTATTTGTACCAGTAGTTAAGACGGCAATTAAAACCAACTAATAAATAAATTATTTTTATAAAGGCCTGGAACATTCAACATTTAAGTTTTTATTAGTAATTATTTAACAACTTTTACCTCCATTTTTTTATTTATTTATTATTATTATTTTTTTTTTTTTGACTATCGCTCTTGATTTATTATTATTATTTTTTTTTTGTATTTCTTATGTATTTATTTCCTTGTATCTATTTATTTATGTATTTATTTACTTATTTATTTTATCTTAAAAAAAAAAACTCCTATTGTAACTATACCATTTAGCATAAGAAGGAATATCGAGACTAGTAATTCGAGAAGCAAACGTACAGTACGTTAGATGATCGAAAATAATTAGTAACATAAATTTTGTAAACAAAAAAAAAAAAAAAAAAAAAAAAAAAAAAAACATAAAATAGAGAATTGCGGCTTATTAGTTTACTACTCTTGTATTTTAGAATGATAGTCTCTAAAGCAATATGGTCTTGCTTTAGAGCAACATAATGGCACTTTGCATTTACTGCACCACAACTGACTTTGCGAAGGATTATCATAATTAATTACTTTTTCTCCACGTTGTGATTTATAGCGGCAATAGACACAAGCTTCTCTTTTTTCCATCCATTCAACTAAATGGTCTTCATCTAACAAACGGGTTAAGGGTAGTTCGAAATTTTTAGTCACGTGAACAACTCGTTTTCCTTTTGGTGGAGTTTGAGAAGACATTTCATCGCTAAGTAGTTCTTTTTTTTTTTCATCACCTAAAGCTTCTTTAATTAACTCCCAAGCCAAACTAAGCCTAAACTCTTTACTTGAAATATTTGAATTAGTAACCTTACGGTAAAGAAGCACGCAATTCACAAGCACGGTATCCAACATCCAGAAAAATAATGGAAGCCAAGTACGTCTAACAGTTAGTTGACAGTTGTAATAACCACGGAGCTGGTCGGCGATATCAACGCCACCCATATAATGATTATAATCATCTACTATCTTTGGAATTTCCAATTCTTTTCGATATGAATCTCCAAAAACAGAACGCACTTTACTTTCATTAGAGTTAGTTACACGTGGTCGCCGCCGATTACGAATAACTTTCCAATTATCTCTAGAAATCTCATGAATAGTAGATAGCATGGTGACTGGGCCATTATCTATCCAGAGAATGGCCAAAACATCATTAACTACCTTACCTAAAAGTGTGTTCCAGTCTAAAGATGACTCTTTACTAATTTTTAAATCTTTAGGAAATCCAGCCGAATTTGTACGAACAGTGCCGCAGGCATCAATACCATTTTCCCGTAAATATTTAAAGAGCGGTATACTCGAGAAGTAATTGTCCATATACACATGATACGTTTTATTACTAGGAAGCTTACTAACCAAATGTGCAACTATACATCCAGTATTGTTAAGGCCTGAAACAGATTCTACGGATGAATTTTTTTCAATGCGTGATGTAAACAAAAATGCCCAGGTGTATCCACGATCGCAAAGCGAAATAATTTTATACCCCTCAGGGGTTGGTTTATTCTTCATCCTAACAGTATGGGCACTTCGCCCGGAAAAATGCACAACCATTTCGTCAACAGAAACGTTTGAACTTGGAACGTAATACTTCTTGATTGCTTCTTGAATATGCGTCGCTAATGGCTCTACCTTCGAATACCAAAATGGATGCAATTCACCTGGGGGCGAGATATGAAGAAATCTCTTTATTTGCTGAAACCTAACCATAGTCATAAATCGTTTAATTTCATGTGTCACTTTTTTTTCATCCCGATTCCATAAATCTTCCATTGCACTGATTTTGTGAACACCCATGTAAATAACGAGCCCAAACCAAATTTTTAGTTCATTTAAAGTTAACGACATCCATTTGCGACCACCTTGTCTACCTTTTACATTCTCATATGTATTAGTATTCTCGACTATCATTTGTAATTGTTCGTTAGTAAAAAAATACTGAAAAAGGGAAAGCGGAGTAACGATTCCTAATTGATGTTCATGGGGAAGCGTTGCATATCCTCTGTGAAGCGGTTGAAAGTTTTGAATAGGATTAAACGTAGGTAATTCAAATACTGTATTGGTATTCATATTACTAATTTGAACATTTCCTCCTCTACCCCTTCCTTTACCTCTACTTCTTCCTCTACCCTTACCTCTTCCCCTACCCCTACCTCTTCCCCTTACTTCGTTCATATCTTGTTCATTTGATTCTTCTTCACTGTGTTCCTCATTGTTGGCAACTTCTACAAGCTCATAATCTATTATCAATTCACCGTGACAGTCATGTTCAAATGTAATTAAATATTGCGGATCAAGATCTTCGTGATCAAGAGACATGAGTATTTTTTTTGTTTAAAAAAAATAATAATAATAGTAAATGAATAAATTGTGATGGCACAAAAAAAGTTACGACTTTAATTAAATGAACGAATAAGCAACTGCTAATTAAATGAATGAATAAAAATAACTGTCACGGCAGTTTAATAAAATTGGCTTAAAAAAAAAAAAAAAAAAAAAAAAAAAAAGCGTAATAATCGGTTTAAAAAAAAAAAAAGAATGTAGCGGTTTAAAAAAAAACTATCATTAAGATACAATATTTCGATAATGCTTCAGCACAAGACATACACGTCACTTGCAAACAACCACCAGCAGGTAAGAACCTTCCGATTTATTTATTATTAGAATGAAATGGTCATTAAAATTTAATTTAATTGATTTCAAGGTCTTTATTTTATATTCATTCTCATAATACGGGCAGCAATTCAGCCAACATCTAAATAGAGAAGCTATCAGTGTACGTACGTATCAAGAATATTTCATATGATTTTATTAATATGGTTTATGGTTTATTTACAACATGCCGATTTCTAATTTCTTTAATAACAAATGCTAGGTACTAATCACGACAACCCATTAAAATGGTAGTAGATAAGGCGAAGAGAAGAAGCGAAACCCTAATATATTTTTTCTTTGTAATGTTAAGGATTAATAAGGGCACTGCTGTGTCGTATCATGTAAATACAGTACTTGCGCATTTTATTGTTACTTATTCGTATGTACGTGTACATTGTATTATCTGTTATCGTTACGTATTGTAGATTTTAGCTGTTAATTTTGGGTGTCGATCTTCGATATTTTTGTCAACTTTTTCACAGAATAATCGTGTAACTGTTTTCCAGGCAAATTTGCCTGGAAAATTTTGATTGGATAGGTTCTTCCGGTTTTGGAAAATCATGCATTAGGGGGGCATTTACTTATCAAGATTTGGTGTTACGAAACGATTTGTCATATGATTTAATAATTCCAGGCAAATTTGCCTGGAAAACAGTTTAAGGGATAATAAAATTGATTAGCTAATTTTTAAAAAAAATTAACTAGTTACTATTAGCCAGAATTAATACTCAAATCATTATACACTTTTACCTTACTGCTTACCCTAATGTTTAATATAATTCTTAAATATAAATAAAGTTATGAGCAGTATAATAAATAAATAACTATATAAAGTATAAATAAAAAGACTAAATAATAATAAAAGAAATTAAAGAAAAGAATAAAAAATAATTTAATAAATAATTATTTCTTAATAAACAACCCATTTTTTCTTTAACTTTAAGGTTAGAGTGTTTATTATATATAAAATTAAGCACTAAAAACTTTTACTTAGTGACATAATGCAAGTTTTCATAATAAAATTTTAAGGATTATATAATTTAACGCAGGCGCGATGTAACGCACCCACCTGATCGACCAATCAGAATTCAAGATCAGGTGTAACATAAAAATCAAAACAATAGTGATTTTTTAAACTAAAGAGTTTGTTTTGATTTTTACGTTACATGATCATGATCAACTGATTTTTATCTTTATTATTGTTACACAAGATCCTGCGGTTTTATTGGTTAATCATATAAATGTTCTAAAATTTATTAAAATTTTGTTTTGATTATAAAATTAACCAATCAAATTAAATAGTGATCACATTTATTCTTGTATTTGTTATATAAACTTTTTTTTTTAAGAATTTTGTACAGTATAAACGTTTAACAACAGAAATTTTATTTGGCTGTTGTCTTTTTTACCCAGGTGATTACTATTATATTGCTACCACTAACGCGTAGCCCTACTGGCGTATTGGCCATTTATTTGCTCCATAGCCTGATTTGGCATGTTGACCATTTATTTGCTCCTGCGTCAGATGCTTGGAGGTAATCTCCTGAATCCCTTTGGTATTTATGTGATCAAAGCCTGATTTAGCATATTGTTTCCAGTACTACGCTATGTATACCTACTGGCGTATTGGCCATTTATTTGCTCCATAGTCTGATTGACATGTTGACCATTTATTTGCTCCTGCGTCAGATGCTTGGAAACAATCTCCTGGATCCCTTTGGTGCATATATAACGAAAGCCTGATTTGGCATGTTACTTTCCAGTGTTGTGTTTATTGGTGCATTCTTTCTCTCAGTCAAATTAGTCTTGTTTATACAGCTTAAAGACTGACTTGTTTTTTTTTTTTTAGGATGTATGATTCCACTATTGAAGAATATCTTAACACTACCAAATACAATGAATGGTCGATTCTATCTATCTTGAAATACACGGAATCCAAGCATAATTTGTATATTGATAATATTAACATCCTCAAGAATGAGATTTATACTGTGATACGACGTCACTATTCTCGAGAAAATATGCAAAAACGGGCGATCAGTAAATTGAAAAAACTATTAAAAATTTATGATAAATATTTTAATACAACTGAATTCGAACAATTTATTAATCAACTTCGAAAAAAAGAAGTATCAATACGTCCGGCTGTTCAGTGAACGGTTCGATCACTCCAAAACGTCAATCAACTGATACTAGTAATCTTGATGGCACGAGTAGTATTTCTGGAATGGCCGCACAATCAAGAAATGATATTTATAATAATAACCTTAATGATTATATAATTGGTGGTCAACGAAATATGACAGTTGCCTACAATATGAATGCATTTAAAGATCATCGCCAGAATGAGAATGTATTAAAGGAATTACATGAAGAAGAATATTCTGACAGTACAGTAAGTAGATTCGTGTTTTATAAATTAATCAGAAAAATATGTTTTTTTTTTTTAAATATATATTTAAGCAGTTGATAAATAAAAAATTTTTGTGTTAATAGGAACGATCAAGTAAACGAAGTAGAAAAGCAAGTATATTTCTATATTATTTCTAACTAAATATTGATGATGGGTAATAATATTAATTTAAACATATATAGGACGAAAATACAAATGAGGTTGTTTCAGAAAACGACATCTCTGATACTGATGTAGATGATCTTGTGAGTTTAATAGGCCTTTAGTTATTTGTTTTATGTATCACTACTCATTTGAGTAGATAATTATTTTATATGACTGAAATTTTTACTGCCTCTTGAAATAGAATTATACTGATGAACTTGAAACTACGAATATAAGAGAGGATGAGCCTGATGACGAATGGATTCTTTCAACAGGGAAAAATGTTTGTAAGGTTTTAAAAGAGTTTAAATCCAAAATTCCATCGACAAAAGCCTACCTTTAGTAAGTATCTAAAGATTCATATCAGCGAATTTATGTAATCTGAGGATTAACTCGTGGTATATAGAGTATCACGTATGATTTATTTTTGACTATTTCCAAAAATAGTAGGGAGATTAGTTAGACGTTTACTATATGATCTGTAATAGGAAATTGTCAAAAATAAATATTATATGACACAATGTATACTATGAGTTATTCTCAAAGTACGTAAACTAGCTAATATGTATGCTATTTCTTAAGATACATAATTGCTATTATTCTAATTATTATTTATCAGCCCAGCATACTTTGGGATACTTGATCTATCGGGCGAAGAGCCAGAAATTATGAAGTTATTTACTGTCGAAGAATGGACTGAAATGAAGTCAGACTTTAACAAGACCGTGGTTCTTAAGGAAATGGATGCAAAAGAGGAGGAGTTACTCTATGTCTTATTTGACAAAATTGAGAATATAAATGCATTATTTTTTGAATTTGTTCTGTGTGAGATTTTATTGATGTTTAATATCATCCAGGTACTTAAGAGAAAATCAGATGATATAGTCACGGATATAGAAGAATGTATCATTAAGGTACATGTTACCTAAATATTAATTTATTAAAAGTTGTGTATTTGATTTTTGAACCTTATGCATTTTGATTTTAGGGGTACCCAAAGATAAATTTAATCAGAAGATTAATTCAAACATAGTATGTTTTCTATTTGATCTTTGTTTTTATATCATAATTGTTTATTGAACATTCTCATAATATGGTATGCAGTGCCTACAATTTGGATCGGTTGAAGCTATTCATGTCAGAAGGTTCTTTCTCAAATAACTTTACCAATATGATAACCAAGGGTATTATCACATATTATCAGAAATTCGCGTATGATGAGTTCAGTGTTTTTTTTTTTTTTTTATGAAAGTATGAAAATATTTTTTCTTTATTTGCTGACAATATCATTTTTAGAGGAGAAATTCAAAGTCTCGCATCAGCGATGATTGCAAACTTAAATAAGAAACTAGTTGACAGATCGTTGATTGGGCAACGTTGTGATTTTAGGATTACCTGTGATGGTTTTGAGGCAGTCATTGGACTGCGATCCGGAGGACTACCTGAAGCTTGTAGTTCAAAAAAATGTAATGATAAAGTCGACCTCATGGTTGCAATGCGTGATGTCTTGTTCCAGGAAGCAATAGAAAACAATGGTGTGGAATGTACAGACTTTAAAAATTTGTATACACTTGGCGTACATTCTTATGGTGAGTTTTTTTTTTTTTTTTTGACTTTATATAAATGGTATCTGAGTAAATTTTATGGGATGTTAGGTTTTTACTACAACTTGTATGCGATGGATTGGAAGGCAAGAGGACTGTGGCGGTTAGGCCTTTTGAAGAAGATAAAGTTGCCTCAATCAAACAATCAATTATTAATGATTGAAAAGTTAACAACATTGCTGTTGAGAATTGAAGTTTGTTTTTGTTACTATTTGTTGGTTGTTTAATGGAACTTTAACTAATATTTTGTATTATAGTCAACTTTAAACCACATTGTGACTATTCGGAATGAACTGGCAGTCAAGGCATCACGATTGCACCGAGATCGACGCAGCTCAGTTCATCCAAAACCATATACATTTGCTGAGCAAGGACGTGTAAGGCGTAAACGTATTCAAAAAGATAATTAAATTTACTACAGTTAGAATATTGAATAATGAATGACACAAGATTTTTGAGCAATTAAAAATTTATAGAATAAAAATAAACTGAAAATTACGAAAACTATATCATTGAAATCACATTATATTAATAATATACTTGTTAAATAATTTTGAGTTCTGAAATTTTATGTGATACATATAATGTTCACTTTGTCTGATTTCTTGCAGCATGCCCCATATATACTATAATATAAAAAAAATTCCAGCGTAACCAATAGTCGAGGGCGCAGTCACATGGCACCCGACCTTATTATTATCCGGAAAGTCAAAGTTTAAAAAAAATATATCGATATTAATTGCTATATCGTGAGTAGTACAAAATGATCTACATTTAATAATAAATAAAAAATTCGCAAACATGAATGAAACAGTCAAGCTATTAGAAAACGGAATAGTTTCATCTAACATTATGGACTATATGCGCGAATTAGTGGGCTTTTAAAATTAAAGAAAATATATCAAATGCTATACCTTATTGCCTTTATATGCGTATATTAGTTATATCGGTATTAAAATAAAACAGTTTGTTATAACAGTAGTTCAAAGTGAAACAAATACTTTACAACCAGGGTTTTTATTTAATTGTAATAATCAAAACTCAGAAATGTTTTCTTCGCCGTCCAAAGCAATCACAATGGTATATCATAAACTTTTCTAACAAAATAAACCAGAAGCGAAATATTACCATCTTGACTTGCGAAAGATTTGAAATCGTACTAGTTTATGCGTGTATCCAATATAAAGTCAATAATCACGAAACAACTCTTAAAAAAAAAGAGCATACGCATTGACTCAAGTTACCCAGATTGGAATTGTATCACCATAGCGGTAATTTAACCCTGATTGAACTACTTCGAGTTTACAGTATCACACCAAAATTCGAGTTTATCACATCAATAATTAATGATTAATGTGATAAACTCGAATTTTGGTGTGATACACTCGAATTTTTATGTGATAAGCTCGAATTTTTAAAACCGGTTCCAACCTCTACTTTAAATTTGATATAAAATTTGCCTCTTGCATATTGATCGCCGATAAATTGTTCTATTATACAGATCCTCATTGGCTCGCGATATTGCAATTAGCGTTTCGGGCGAAATTCATTTCCAAAATCCGAAAGGCGAAACCGAAACCCTCCCAAAGGCGAAATAAATCCGATATTTCCGAAATTTCCGAAATTTCCGAAATTGGCGAAACTTCCGAAACCTGGCGAAACCTCCGAAATCCGGCGAAACCGAAATGGCGAAATCTCGAAACTTTTTTTTGAGGGTTTTTTTTTTTTTTTTTTTTTTAATGGCACCTAGATTTCTATTGTTGTATTATTTTTCTTGCATACAGAATAGAGATGTACCTCGCGTGAGGTCAAACTAGCATATATTCGCAATCGCATACAAAGATATTGCGCGATTTTATAAAAGTTATTAAATTGGTTAGCTTATTGATTATTAATTATCATCGAATAATTTTACTTCACACAAGTTTGATATCATCTCGCACAAGTTGCATGAAGTTGCGGGTGTTAGAATTTTGTTATCTTGTGTGAGGTACATCTCTAATATAGAATTATAAGTTAATAATTTAATTTGTAATTACTAACATTTAATTTTTTCTATCTTTTAATATAGTATGTAGACAATTTTGCTACATACAAATAAATAATACTAGGTAAAAATAATTTAATTTATATTATTTAATAAAATATTTATTTAAAAAAATAAAAAAAAACTAAAATAAAAATTAAAAAAAAAATATATAGTATTATATATATTTAAAATAAAAAAATAAAAGAAAAAAATTTTAATTATATATAATAATATAAAATAATATTATAAATTCAAAATGTAAATGATAAAAATTTTTAAAAATATAAATAAAAAAATCTTAGTAAAATTTAAAAATATTTAAAAGAATTTAGATTTGATAACAACACGGATATTTTCCAAAAAGTAAAAAAAGACCACGAGAAAATAATTTTATATCGAAATTAAATGTTTAAAATGTTAAGATCGATGCTATGTAAAATTTGGAACTTTCGATTTCGAAAAAAAAAGTATCGAATATTTAAAAGAAGTCGCTAATGACGAATCAGCTATGGTGAAAAGAATGAAAGAGATCAATTTTAATGATAATTGATTGATGATGCTGATAAAATGAATGAATCTAAATCATATTTCGTCATATGTATGCACTTTTTATCGCATCTTTTCTGTTAAAATTGATTTGATAAACTTAAACTAATCGTATCTTGCTAGCGATTATAATTATGAATAATAGGAGCGATTGAAAAATTTATGAATAATAGGAGCGATTAAAATTATATTATGATTTATTTACTTGTAGTCAACAATAGGAACGACTTATTTGTAATTCATCAAATCATATGTTAAAATTTTTATAAATTTTTATAATAATATTGCGAACTGTCTTAGATCATCCAAGTTTTATTGATTCTACGAATTTTTTAAGTATCTATTATTTAAATAAACAGATGATGGATATTATAACATGGTTTTAGAAGTAAATCTACGAAAAAAGAAATTTCGAGAGTTTGCGCATCGCTAAAGAAATAGCGCATGGTCTTACATTCTCGCATCATCGTAATAAGTGTAAATATTTATATTTCACAATTTTTGGATATTTTTAATTAATTGATATCTAGCTTTCTAGTTAAAATCTCGAAAATTTATTCTTAAAAACTTATAAAGATTTCCACTATCAACATATTGAAATACCATTAAGTATTCCTTCGTTTTTGTGTTTTGAGTTAATCCATATATCTTAAGCTTACTACCGTTCATTTTACATTTCATATGATTGTCAAACCAATAAATTTACTTAAATGAATTAATTCAGTAAATTATATAAATTAACGATTAACTTTCAAAAAATCGGATGAATTTTCTTTTGAACTAGACAAGAACTACGCTAGATTGTTTATGTGCTCTTTATAATTACCTTCAATTTTTTGTATACCATATAACCAGGTTGCAAAAAATGCAGAGCCAAATCCTCCTTCGCCAAATTTTTTAATATTATCTAGTCTATTAAATTGAATTCATTCAATCATTTTTTCATATTCATAAGTTCTAAGTTTGAAATTCTTTTATGAAATAATCAATATTTATTAAAACTAATAGTTTAATGGGTTAATAATTTTGTAACTCTGGTTACCACAACCAGTAAAGCCAATCAAATTTCAGGATCAGATGTAATGTGAAAACAAAATAAAATGCTAGTTTTTTAAAGAAATCGCTAATAACTCAAAATTTTGCTTATAAAACTATCCTTTGCGTTCTAAAAAAAAAATATATATTGATATAAACTATGCCTACTCTAACCCTAATCTCGGGCTAATCCTGACCCTAACTTCAAAGAAAAAAAGATGTTTTGATCCTTACGTTACATCTAAACTTCAAATTTTAATATAATGGTTACAATAACCGTGGCTACAAAATCATAATTCTAGTTTAATATATAAAATTTTTAAATCTCTATGTTTAGAACTTAATAAGGTAATTAAAGATTCTCAAAACTTTTTGAACACCCATGTATTAATAATATAATCATTTGGCACATAATACTATTGATAAAACCTTTTTTACTAATTTTTTACTTTCATCATTCCCATCTTTATCTATGCCATAATGTACATAAATTTTAAGTACATTCCTAAGAGCATTAATTATAACGATATAAAGGTTTGCATCATCAATATCAATTTTTGAAATATCTAATATCAATCCTAGATCCTAATCCTGGCTTATTTACTGAGATTATTTCCTACATCACGAAATACATTTTTACATAGATCTATGTAGAATTTTTACATAGATTTATAAAAATTCTATTTAAATTATACATAGATTTACAAACCCAATGTAGACTTATGTAGTTATAATTTCTATACTTATGTAAATATAAATAACTTTTCTATATAGAACAATATTTATATAGATATAAATAGAATTTTATATAAACTTTATATAAAAATAATATATAGAAATTATAACTATATAAGTTTATATTAGGTTTGTAAACCTATATAGAAATTTTATATAACATTTATATAAACTTGTAAATCGATTTAGATTTTATAATAAAAAATACAGTTCATGACGTAA